TTGGAGAAATAAATAAATACAGACATGTTATTTAAAACCACCTCGAATATGTTGCGTTCATGTTATGAAATGTTTTCTCATAAATGATGCGGTAAGCAGGAGGACAGAATTACGTCTAAACTGACGCCGTTTTGCATTTCTATAGGTTGTAGATACGAGCATGGTTTTATATATGTTTAATACATGTTTAATCGTGTTTTATGCCGTTTGCCAAGACTTGATAAGTCGCTCATAAAACACAGGAGGTATGGAAACTAAGAGCATCATATGTGGTAAATTGTACAGCTAATATAACACAACACATTTGTATTTCCTTTAACTGGTGGATATAGTGTTGCTGCAGTGGAGACGCTGCGCACAGCTGATCGACAGCTGGGACACAAACCGCCAAATACAAAAACATAATTCAGATCCAGTCGTCATGACTCCACTCCGGAGGGATTCCACGATCATTTCTTACAGTTTCTCATTAAGGGGGGTCTCCTGTCCCCGGTACAAACACACTGCCTGAGGAAGGCTATATATTTTTTGTCATTAACCTTTTTCGGACCACTTATTTATTTATTTAGGTGGCGATCCGACCTCCATGCTGCTACTCTGGTTCAAACTGCATCCACCAAACAATATGATTTATCTCGACCTCCCCAAAATAACCAACATCTGACACGATGTGAGATGTTTTTTGTAGCTGTTCTGTCGTCATTTCCTGCGTTCTTCTCCATGCAGTCAGTCAAAATGAATGAATGAAAGGGCGTTTCTTTGACTATTTATAGGCAAACATGGGCGTTACGTGAAGCCCGTAAAAGCTGCACCGCTTTTCGAGTCGGTTGTGATTTATAAAGGGAAACAGGCGTAGGGAGTGCCATACGCACTTTCCTCGCCCGTACGCAATGTTTGGTGAATCGGAAAGTGGCGGAAAATGTATGGACCTATTTTTCGGATGTCTACTACGTAAGCAACCTTCCCACGTCAATCCTACGCACGGCGTTATACATGAGGCCCCAGATGAATCGTATTTAGTAGTGATTTTTTCAAATCAATCGTACAATTGATTGGTCTTTTTGGTCTCATTAGGGCTTGTTGAAGGAAATGTGAAAATCAAATCAAAAGAAACTCTCAAGATGTTATATGCATGTGCATGTGTTTTGTGTGTATTTGTGTGCATGTGCAGAACCACTTAGATATATCATTATGAATCATTAAATACAAATGTGAAAGTGATATAACCCACCCCCCACACACACACACACACACACACACACACACACACACACACACACACACACACACACACACACCTACCCCGTTAAAATACCCTCAATGTTAAAAATTACATATAAATAATACTGATATAAATGTGGCAAAATTCCAAAAAGTGAGAAAATCATTATTCATCAGACTAATGAGAACATGACATACACATGTTTAAAATACTTTGGGCTGCTAAGATGTGCTGTTTCTGAGGACACATCACCAGTTTACACAAACTGGAGAGGGGGGGACACAGAGCCCCCATTTCACTAGTTGATGGACATGACCTTAAGAGCTTTAACGCAATGAGCTTAAGGAACCCGACATGACTTATAGAGTAGAATAAAGCGATATCATGGGATCATTTCTGACATCATCTTCATCTGAGACTATTCTCAATCAACATATCGTTCATTATGATCACAATAAAATATTTTTCATTTCAGTAAGAATCTCTAATGAAACCGGGCTCCAGTTGAGGATGGGTCGGGTTAGAGGGGGCAGTCATCAAAGTTACCCATTTGTACCCAGGAGGTTCTCATTTCCTTGGGCACCATATTTCTCTGCAATACTGTCATCAAAATGTGGCGATACGACACGACACAGCATTACACCATCATATAAAACAGACCATTCAGCCACATCTATGTGTGTGTGTGTGTGTGTGTGTGTGTGTGTGTGTGTGTGTGTGTGTGTGTGTGTGTGTGTGTGTGCGTGTGTGTGTGTGTGGGTGGGTGGGTGTGTGTGTGTGTGTGTGCTCTGTAGATTATTGACTGTGTGTGCCATGCTAACATCTCTCAGCAGATCTGCAGACAGCTGTGGTGGTCACCATGCTATAATTTAATATATGGCTATGCTTAGTGATGGATGGTCAGCCAGTAAAACAAAGACAAATGTTCTTTCTACCTTTCAGGAAAAAATAAAAAGGAAAAGCACAGCTGGCCCAAACATCAGCACACTGGATGCTTCAGGCAACAAACAATCAGATTAAATGACATCTCTTTGGGGTCTTCTGCTCATTGTTTTTCTTTCTTTTAATGTTATCATCTTGCATTTTTCTTGTGCGATGTTTAACATGCACTGTACTTTCTTTTATTTTGCAAAAGTTGAAGTGCCTTCTCATGGCTATTTTGGTTGCCTTATATGATTTCTGGCCAGTTACCGTAGATTGTTCTGCACATTCCCACATTGCACAGCTACTTTGGTGAATTGGGGTGTGAAGGGGCACTCCACGCTTAAGGCTCCAAAAGTCTGAGGCCGGCCTTGGTAAATGTAGGCTTAATAGAAATATCACAGAGACCTTATAGTTCATAGCCAGACTTCCTTTTGAAACATTTCTAATCGAGCTATCTTGTAATCAGATTTAGCAGAATGCAATCTCCTCTCCTCTAAGGAGGGAAGTGCTTTCTGAGGTACATCGTGAGGCCTTTCACTCAAACGTCAGGGTGAAGAAAAGAATGGAGCAAACCAACATAGCAGATGCTAAAGTGTTAGCATAGGTCACCGAGCCAATGATCTACTGCATTGTGTCTTCCTAGTCATAATGTTTCTGCATACTAATCATTATTTGAATCCATGTTTGCATTGTTTGCATTTTAACTCATGTATTGTGTGTTTAGGCATTTTTGTGTGTGTGTGTGTGTGTGTGTGTGTGTGTGTGTGTGTGTGTGTGTGTGTGTGTGTGTGTGTGTGTGTGTGTGTGTGTGTGTGTGTTGTTTCTCCATAGGTGTGTGTTTATGTGTACGCGTTGAGGCGTTCTTTGGAGCGTGTAGAGTGGATGTCGTGCAGCTCCTGCTCCTCTTTGGACTTGATGTCCTCATACTTCTGAATCCGGCTGGCGTCCTTCAGATATCCCCAGTTAGCAGCCAGAGCCATCAGGAAGTGGACCTGGGGGGTGTGCATGCATACAATTTACTTTTAGACCCTAATTTGTTGGTTTTAGTTTTGAAGAAAATGTTCACCAGTCTTTTTATAAATACTTTCCCAATGTAAGATGTTTTTCTTTCAGTATAAAGACAGATGTGAGTGATATGCTCCAATGACAATGCCATGTGGAGTCCTCTCCATGTGAATAAAGATAACAAAATGTGTATTTCTTCACGGGTACATAGATTTAGTCTATCATTTAGAACCAGATTAAGACAGAACTTTAGGCATCTTTGTTTCATTGATTGAACTTTATCTGCCTGGATTCATTTTCTGCCTCATGTCCAGCGGCTGTGATCGAGTGTGTAAATCAGCATTAAGTTAGATGATCGCGATTTGGCACATTGATGACAGCTCTGCCATCAGTGTATGAATGTGTGTTTGAAGGGGAGATGTGTAACAGCAGTTTGAATTATTTGAAGAATAGAGAGGCGCTAAATAATTGCATTTTAGGTGTGTTTGAGAGTGAGAACTGAGAGAAAATAGAACTCCAATCACCATGGCGATGACAGCGGCTCCTGCTCCTGCCAGTGTGCACACGAACAGATGGAAGGTCAGGTCCAGCTGGAACACACAAGCAGCGGTCATTTATCTCTTTCTCTCTTTTGTTGACAAAAGTCATAAATCCTATTGTGTGTTATTCAAACGTGTTCACACGTGTGGTTCTTACCTCATTGGATTCACACATTTTGAAGAACTTCTCAGATCCTGTACACACCTTCCTCTCCTCAGAGATGGTCACCGCTCCTAAACATAAACTCTTCATTACTATGGACTTCACACTTTTATATTTTACAAGAATGCAGATAAATGTACTGAATCTGGAGAGTATATAAATATGACATTGAAGCCCTTTGAAGCTTTCATTATATTCCTATATCTCTGTCTCTGTATGTTATTCAAATTGACTAAGATTATTGATTCACTGGTATTGCACCCGGGGAATCTCGGAATGCACTTATCGTGACCTCAAAAGGATCGAATCTTAAAAATAATGAAGCAGCTTTTTTATTTTAAGGTTGAAGTGTATATTTATTCCCTGTGAGAAAGGTTCATTAGATGAAGTGATGAGTTTGCTGACATAAGGGCTATGTGCAGTTTGAATGTCCGGCCAGCAGGGGGCAGTGCTGCGGGTGCCCTGGTGAGGGACACCACATGGAGGACAGACTGTCACTACAATATTTGCTTTAAATTGGACCTATCATGCTATATTTGAAACATATAGGGCCATACCTATACAAAACATGTCTGTGAAGTTTTTTGCTTAAAATAGCAAACAGATCACCCATTATAGCCATGCCTCATACTGCTCATACCCCTCTTTTGCAGCCCTGTTAGAGAAACGCGGATTTTGGGTCCTTAGCTTGAAAAACAAAAAAGAGGAGGCGGAGCTAATGCCTGATCAGAATTCTACCGGAGATAGAGTGGCGAAGTCACGCCCACTTACTTCCGCATCATGGGACCTTATTCCGAAAAAATAATACATTGAAGTCAATGGAGAGAGAAAACTTATCTTTTGATCCCGTTTGAATTGTGCCATGANNNTTAAATTCTGCTGTGATAAAACGCCATCCTGTTCTAAACCACATCAAGGATTATTTCTGAAACAATATGAAGCTCAAATTCTTTTTCTCTTGCAGGTTTATCACAAGGTGAGTTCCTTTTTTTATTTCCTGCTTTTTAAACACACGTGCTCTACAGTACAGGATAGCTCTGAGTGTTAGCGAGGCTTGCTAATGTAAACAAAGACGAGATTACGTCCAAAACACGTCAGGCATTGTTTCTGATAGCAACTTTCTGTGGGTCCGCTGCCGATTTGACGTCAGTTCGGATGGAATCTGTATCCGCTCGTTGTACACCCGTTTTTAAAAGATTTGGGTACGGAGGAAAAGAGAGAGGGTTTTATTTTCTGACGCTGCGTGAGTTCCCCGACGCACCGGGGTCACATATTTATGTATACATTTAGTTTTTACATGGACTGTGCATTATATTGTGATTATGATTTACTCTAAGTTGTCATAACAAGCTGGGAATAATAAACTATTAGTGGGCATTGTTTTCCTTTAAGTTAACCAAAATGACAACAATTTATTTTTAAAATGCCCTATAATATGTTATGATTATTTGTATAAATAAATATGAATATTTATGAGTATAAATACTATAATTTAGAATATACCGCGCTATTAGCCAATCAGAACACATTATAAATATGTTTGTAAGTCATTTGTACATGAATACCATAAAAAGTGCTCCCAACATTTTTTGTTATTCTAGGAGGGAGCCTATAGTGTTATATTACGTTACCTTTCCCGCCTGTCGAGCAGGTCGGAGCTGACACTGCGGCCGGGCGTCGGAGGTTCCACATTGACGCTGGATGAATCACTGTGCCAACCTGAAAGTGAACACACTTCTTTTTCTGCCTGTTCAACCTGATCAAGAGCCTCCTGAGCTTCAGTCATCTCTGCGTCCTCCTTCTTGTCCTCTGAGCCTTCTTCTTTCTCCACCTCCTCAAACAGAGATCCTTCTGGGATTTCTTTGTCTCTGTCTCCCTCCTCCTCTTCCTCATTGGATTCAGACTCACTGGGCTGACGTTCCCCGAGTGCCTCAACCCAGGCTCGAGGGGAGAGGAGAGCTACGGACTGACTCCCTTGGTCCTCTTTAAACCTCAGTTGTCCATCATCCACTCTGTCATCGTGGTAGACCCTTTCCTGACTGCCCCTTTCACATTTGTGTACCTCAGCTATTTCATCAATACCCTGTTTGACAGCCTCTGCCTCTGAGTTAGAACCTTTTTCCACTTCATGCCCAATTTCTATCACATTATGCTGCTCTTCTGACACATCTCTCACCTCATCCACCTCGCAGGCTGTCCCGTTATCCCCATCATTTATCATATCCTTCTCTTCTGCCAAGATGATATTCTCCTCTTCCAGCTCGCACCTATCTTTTGTTATCATCTCACATTTTCTTTCCACGTTTTTAATCAAGTCCTGCTCTAGCCACTTTTCCACAAATCCATTTCCATCCACTAACTCTGCCACAACCTTTTCTATTTCCTCTATCACTTCCTTTTCACCTCCTCTCAAACATATATCCTCCTGGTCCCAATTGGGGGAACCCATCTGCACTCCTCCGTCTCCAATTTGTGCTCTGTCGTCCGATAAAGGTGTAATTGATGATACTGATGAGAATGAAGGGGAAGATGTGGAGTAGGCCATGTCAACGTCTAACTCACACATCGCAGGGAGGGATTGTGACTTGGGCCTGTAGATCAGCTCCATTTCATGACAAGACCTGTCCTCTTCCTCGCTCAGAAGCAGCTGGTCGTTCAGGGCGATGTGGGGCTTTCTGAACTTGGGAGGGATAGGATCAGGGAGGACAAAGACTGGGACGGGAAAGGCGAGCTCACAGGGTCTGGGGGGGCTCCTAGGGGGGCTTTCTGGCTCTCCGCCTTTCTCTATCCCCGGGCTCCAGGGCAGGGGCTGAGGCTGGGAGTCGGCCAGCAAAGGGGTGTCTGGGTAATGGTGTTGCTGGTGGTGGGCAAGGGCAGGGTTGGGGGTGACGGGGAGTTCGGGCTCCAGGAAGTTGGGGTTGGAGTGCAGTGCGGCGGGGGACTGCAGCTCCGCTAGAATGCTCTGAAAATCTGTAGGTGACAGGATGACAAATGTAGAGACAGACACCCACTGAAGCATGCCACAAAGGAAAATAACACACCGAGAAACACACACACACCCACACCCTAACACAAACACTGTATGACATGGAAGATGGTACAAAGACTGAAGTGTAAATGCACAAAGCTAATGCAATAAAATGTAATAAATACATGCAATACTTTTTAAAGTGCATGTTTAAAAAAAAAAATTCAGTTTTCAACACAAATACAAAATAAGATATGATGTGATAATAAATAGTTGTTTGATTTTCAGTTAGTGTGAGGTAAGACATTGAAAGTGGGATACATAAGTGATGTAAGGCCATATTAATTGTATGGATTGTGATGAGTGTAAGATATTAATACTTTGTTCGGTTATGAGATGACATGAGATATTTGACGGATGAGAGATGTGGGAAGGAAAAGAAACAGAAAAAGGTTAAAGCATGCTAAATGAAGGCTTCCATTGTGGAAGGGTAAATGGGTGTTCGGGTTGGGAGGGTGGAGGGCGGAAAGGTACACTGACATGCAGGACAGGGAGACAGGGAGCGGAGGGGAGGGGAGGAAGGACTGGGGCAACGGGACCCAGAGGGAGAGATGGGAGGGGGAGTAGATAAGGAGAGAGGGGAGACAGGGCGAGAGGGGGAGGCCAGCGGAGTCACCGAAGACTCTTTAGTTGGAGACAGGGTGACAGAGGGTGAGGCAATGTCTGAGGGTGAGGAGGGGGTGGAAGAAACAGGTATGGTGAGGGGTTCAGAGAGGTTAGAGGGGGAGTCAACGTGGTTGACAGCAGTATGAGAGGGCAGGTCGGAGGTAGCTCCAGATAATGTTGAAGAGGAGGGGTTTTGCTCAGCTTGTGAAGGGATTGGAGCCGGAGTGGGGAGTGTGGGGGAGGGTGGGACCGACTTAGCGGAGGACGGGATCAAAGAAGAAGGAGGAACAGGTGAGGAAGGTAATGGTGAGGTGATGAGAGGGATAGGTGAGGGCGTGTTGGAAGAAAAAGGATCAGCAGGGGGACACTGAGGGATGAGGCAGGTGGGAGGCGGTGAGAGGAAGTTGAACTGGGGCGATTCAAATTGCGCTGGAGGTGCCAAGTCTTTGAGCGAAATGGAGGACTCATAACTCTTAGAGCGGCGCAGGGAAAAGATGCTGCCGGGAGGTGCTGCAGTCGGTGAAAGAGGAGTGGGTGGAGGGGTCAGCGTCGGAAAATAGGGGGCGGGTGGCTGCAGGATGAAGGCAGCTTGAGTGCTCCCAGGAGTTAGGGGGATAATAATGCAAACTATGGGAAAGGATGCAAAATAATAAAAAATTGAGGAGGAGTGGAAAAGAAGACATAAAAGATTGTTTAGTGTGAAACATGCGTGCACAAGAAGACAATGAATGAATTACATGACTCAGGATTTGCGGAGGAGGAGGCATGGATAAGGAGAGGGCAGCACATGACTCTTGATTTGTTAAGAGCTGCTATGTGCCGTTATCAGAAGTAGATACTGCTGCGGGGAGGTGATGGGAGGCAGGAGGAAGAGGAGGAGGAGGAGGAGGCGGAGGAGGCAGCCTGATTTCACAAAGGAAGAGATTCTCTCATCTATCCAAGGAAGGCTCAGAGGAACTGGAGGAGAACTATGAGAACTAAACTAAACCAACAAAGAAAAGCAGACTCTACAGGGTTAAATCATTTCTACTCAGGTCAGACATTATTGCAAAAACATCTAAAGCAGTACGTAGAATGCAGCATGCACTAAGAATGGAATTGGAATAGTGGATATTACTCGTTTGTCACAACTGGATACACTATTTTGATTTGTATAGGAATGTTTACCCTGATTTAAATGAAAATGGTAATTAATTCAACAGAAGTCAATTCAAGTTAATGCAAGTGTCTACAAGCATGGCTATATATAGATGCAATTTATAAGAAGAATAATATAATCATTTCTATGGCATGTCTGTAAAGAATATTAATCAGGAATGCATTTGAGGAACTACATAGGAGCCAGTTGTTCAAACAAAATCCAAATCGGACTGTAAATCAGCCTCTCTAGAGATTTGCACCAGGACTAAACATTTGTGATCCATGCATTGGCACACCAGATAAAGGTAGCAGGGAGAGGTAAGAGGTCAGCTAGACAGAGCTAAACTTTACCATCAGCCTGATCCCGGAAAACAGCGTTATCATCGGCAAAACATCTCGTGCCTGAAATGTTACCATAGTCAAATATTGGGCCCTCCAGTAAAGTCACAATATCCATCCGATTGACTTTGGTCAGCACTGAAGATAAGGCATCCGCTGTGGAAAAACACACATAGATGTTATTGAGTTGCCTGAGATCAGATGAAACAAAGTTTGTACATTGGAGCAAATGAAAAAAAAAAACTTTTCCGAAGAGTCAAATGTGCATGTATGCATCTTCACCACATATTAGAGTTATGATAATACAAAAGAAGTACAGTGTGGAGGATAGACCGGAGAAAGACAAATAAGAAGGGAACTTTAAGATGAGCTATACAAACACTGAAAAAATTAAATGACAAAAAGTTTGTCATTTTTGTGCCTTTTATCGAGAACAAAGATTGAGAAAGAAATAAAAAGACAGTCAGAGAGTAAGATTTTCAACTATAAAAATAGTCTTACTTGTGGCATTTTTTCCTTCCCGACTGACCCATTTCTTAAGAAGCATGAAGCTCTGTGCTGTCAGAGAGTTGGGGTTCTCTAGTCTGATGTGGTTGATCTCATCCACTGTGAAGTTCATCTCCCGAGCCAGCTCTGTGATGGGACACAGAAAGAAACTCATAAATATTCAACCTTTAATGTTGACATTTTATTCATAGTGCAAATGCAGACAGCAGAAAGTAATGTACAATACATATATATTTACATTTTAAAATGATTAAATAAAAACAGCATAGATGAGTGGTAATATGCTCTGTCAGCCTGAAGATGGCAGTAAATAACAGGGTTTGAGGCTGATAGGACCAAAGACAGGAAGTCAGGGGGAGAAAAGATGCAATGCAGGAGGTTTCTTACCCGTCCAACTGAGTCCCAGGTGATCTGCAACGATAGCCATGCGCAGGTCTGTTCGCTCACAAGGACTCTGGGGACCTGGGAAGATGGAGGACAATGACTCATCAATACCCTCACATTCCTCTCCCCCTATACACTTGTTTGTTTGTTTGTTTGTAGCCTTTATTTATTTATTTACACTAATGTAAGAGAGAAATAAACATGTGTATACTTTTCCTTTTCTGGCCACTTGTTCATCAGAATTAACAATATTAATCAATGTTGTGTTTTAGATGTATACTATAATGGTTAGTATATAAGTGTGATATGGGTTACATTTTCCCCAGGATGGCAAGAAAAGGATATTTTACATCAGAGACATTATGGACAACTTAAATATGTTCATAGAGTAAGTGGTGCTCTGTGACTGTTTGTGGTATGTATCCTCTAGGCAGGCAGTAACTGTCATGAGAACCACACAACACAAAGCATAACATGAATCTCAACAACAGACTTGTTTTTCTACAAATCTAGGATGAAAAAGTCTATGTTAGAATCTAAAATGTCAACATGCAAAGACGCGTTCGTGTGTTCTTTGCCAACACTAGTTGAAATGACAATTCAGTAAGAACAAACTACTGCAATAACTTGGTAGCCACCCCGCACAGACAGATAGACAGACAGACCAGGGAGTTGTTAAAAAAGGGACTGGTTGTGCCAGTGGACCAGTCACTACTACTGGCATGCTCATCTACTAAATCGAGGTTTAAAAAGGGTTGAAAAGGGGGAACAGAGAGAAGAGAATCTTGCAACAAAGACAATACAGTACACAGTACATCAATGACAAAAAATAAATTTAAATGACAGCTACTGTTCTGAAGAGAATATGTAAACACGCCACAGGCATTCCAGTCAATCCATCAAACGATCACAACGATGTCATGCAACTAAAAGTGAAATATATAAATATATAGATGTATTTTAAACATAGTGTGAAAGTTTTACAAACTAGGCTTGATCTCCGCGATGGGAGGCGTTCGAGACCCTGTGAGTCCCTGACTGCCCTCCTTCCCACCAGTCCGCCTACTCCTCCTGCTCCTCTCACTGCCGGAGGCCCTGTCCGTCGTCGCCACCTTTGCCCTTACGGACGCGGCCCCGGCCTCAGCCCTCGAGCCTCTACCAGACCTGGATGAGCGGGAGGGCTGGGAGGGCTGGGAAGGCTGGGAGGCGTCCGACAGAGAGGTGCTCCGGGAGGTGCTGTCTTCCTCCGACTGCTCTGTCTGCGTCTTTTTCTCCTCCTCTGACAGGCGGTCCACCAACTTTTGCGTCTCCCCGCTAATGCCTTTAAAGTATTCGATTGTGCGCTTACAAACCTCACTAGGATTCTCCTGCCTGGCCTGTCTACATGCTCCCTCAACTGTGACATTGCTGACCTGGTGCCTGTCCTTCAGTGGTAACCTTGAGGGCAACTGTATGGCTGCTCTCCCTGTGTCCAACGCCCTAGTTGGACGTGAGGTAACCCGAACAGAAGCAAGAGAGCTAGCTGTGGCAGCAGGGCTGCTCTTTTTAACATCCTTGATTGGTATCCTAGACCTTGGTTCTACTTTGGCTATGGCTGGCTCTCCTCTTTTCCTGACCTCAACCGTCAAAACTTGTTTGGGCTTCTGTTTGCCTATGGCTGTTCCTTGCGTGTGAAATGACCACCCTGATGCTTTAACTGGAAGCCTCGACTTGGGCTGCCTTACTTCACTTTCTTTAACAGCTTCACTTGTCTGCTCCTGCACTTGACTGCTGTTGTGTACCTCCACTTCTAATTCCCTACAGAAGAGTGTTTCTATCCTACTAGCTTTTTGAAGAGTGGGCTCAGAAGAGGACTGCAAATTAAACACCACACTACCACACTGAATGTAGTTGGCCTGAACACTGGAGGACTCAAGGTTATTGTTGTTGTTGCAGTTTTCAGTAGGGTAGTCTCTACTCTCTAACTTGGGCTCTGTCTGTCTGCTAGTCTGGCTCTCTGTACTCTGACCCTCTATACTGATGTATTCTGGCACAATCTGACCCTCTGAGATATCAGCTTTACAATCGGTGAGATCCCCTGAGTCCTTTTTCACAGTTATAGAAGCAGCTATGCCCATCTTAATAGGAGTGCGTAATTTGGGATCAACCTTAGAGGCTGTGATTGTGCATGAGGAGGCGGTCTCAGCTATGGCTTCACAGGTGGGGGCGTCAGTACCGGTATAGCCAGGGTCACTGCCAGGCTGTGCAGTGCTGCATTTCGCTGTTGTTGCTGCTGGTGTTGTTGGTGTTGTGCTGCTGTCTGTGGTAGTATCTATAACCTTCACCATGCCATCTACAGTGGCCCTCTCCCCTGACTGAGAGGAAATTACCCCCAGGATCTTGCCCCCTTTCCCCTTTTCCCCTGTTTTAGGGTCAGAGGAATGCTCACCAATCTGGAAAAACTGAAGCCTCTCTTCAACAAAGTCCCGCTTGCTCATGTCAATAGCACCACTGCGCGTCATCTCAAACATCTTCCCCTCATGGAACGGGAAGGGGTTAGGCTCACTAGTCGGTGTGCTCTCATCAGTCGGCGTTCGAGCGGGAGTTGTGTCAGGTGTTGTAGCTTGTGATTTGTCCTCCACCGATAAACCAAAGGGCTTTGGATCGTCGTCTTTTGTTTTGGACTCAAAGACTCCATCATTATCACCCCCTTTGGTAGACCAGGGGTCAAAGTCCAGGCCTTTGGTGGCAACAGTTTTAAAGGTAGAATTTAGCTCCTCTTCAAGTTGGTAGCCAAAGTATTCATCTGCAAAGCTCTGCCTTTCTGGATGTCTTCCTTCGAGGGTATAATCTTTTTCATCTCCACTGGCTGACGATGTGTTGGTTTTAGTCTTCCCATTCTCCCCCCCTTCTTCACATTTCTCTTCCTCTATCACTTCAAGCTTTGACTGATTAAATGAGCGGTCGGTTGTTTTTCCATCAAAGGACATACTACATGATTGAGGGTCCTCACTCAGGCCGTCATCCTCATCCTGAAGGTCATACCCATCTAAAGAGTCTATTTCAGTAGCATCTGTGTCATGTGAAAATTCAGCAGTGGTTGCTATGGAGCAGTCAGTAATTGACTGGTCATTGCCATTTTGTTCAAAGTCAACATCCTCCTCCTTTACAACACCATTGATCCCAGACTCATTATCATTGCCATTATTCTCAGATTGTTTTGATATCTGGTGTTTATCTCCCTCCTCTTTCATTTTGAAGGTGTACTTTTTTATAGGGATGGGATGGAAGACGGACTCATCATCACTGGAGTCGCTGTTATCAGCTCCAGGAGGAACAGGGGATGGAGGCTGGACCCTGATGATCGGCTCCGCTAAGAGGTGCCTATCATGCTCCTCTTGGAGGTTAACCTCAATCATCTCTGTCTCTGCCTCAGAAGAAGCACAAGACCCCCTTTTCTCGGGGTCGGACTGCTCTGCCTCTAAAGGAGGAGGAGGTGGAAACTCAATATAAGCCACTCTTTTCTCCTTTAACTTCTGTCTCTCTGCATCCTGTTTTCTACTGTGATTCTCTGGGAAAGCATGCTTGGATTTTTCCTTTGATGGCCCCTTGTAGATGAAGGTCTTTCCGTCTTCTTCCTCAGATTCCTCAGGGATAGGGCTTGGCATGCCAGGCATGAAGCCTATCACAGACTCTGGTGTTTTTGAGACCAGACTCACCTCCTCTGAGCTTGGTGTCTCAGGGGTCACAAGACTTTTCCCAGAGCTGTCCATGAAAGTCACTTGAGTGTCATCTTCTGGACTTCCTTGGGGAAATGGAGACGGCTGCTTGACAGTGTAAAATGCACCTCTAGTCTCCTGCACTGTCCTACTCTCATGGCTTACTATCTGTTTGTATGTTCCCAGCTGCCCCGAGGCTGTTTCTTTTTCATACTGCTTTCCTACTTGGATACTAACATAGACAGGAAGGGGTTTAATATCTTTGAAACCCTCTGTGACAACTACAGGAGTTATTTCACCCAAATAATCTGCTTGGTCACCATCAACACCGTTACACACTACATTTGATAGGCTACCGTCTGATGAATCTGTTGATTTTCCTAGGGATGATCCACGAGTAGACTTGTTGGAGTCAGAGCTACTGTGTAATCGACTTCTAGCTAAAGTAGGTATGTGAGACCCTGGCCTTTCCTGTTGTTCAACAGTGGAATCTAATTTTAATGTGGTGGATTTTTGAATTTCCGAGAAATTACAAGGCTTTCTTAAAGGAATTTGCGATTCCGAGTTTTTTTTTAGACCATCGTTGCTATTTGGACTTTCATGGACAACGAATTCTGTGTATATTATTTTCTTAGTGGTTTCTTGCATTTGGGAATCACTATTATTGCCATCTTTCATAGAATCATGGATTAAAGAATGAGATACTTTGGGAGATTGGGGTTTATACTTTCCATAGTCTTGGTTCTCCCATGTTTTGAATAACTTTTTATCTTCCTGGTCTTTTCCACTGGTCTCATGCTTGGGGGAGAACTTATTTGATTCACTATCTAAACATCTTCTCTGGTTTCCCGGACTGTCTGGCGTTTTTGGAATGCTTGGTCCTGTGAACACCTGATACACTGGTAGCTTACTTTCCTGAAGTTTCCTAATAGGGGGATTTGAATCTTGGCCACCCTGAGAACTCCTATCTTGCCTTTGAGCGTCTTGCTCAAACTTCAGCCTCACTGCACTTACTTTGGAGGAAGACATTTGAAAAGGTTTAGGGCTTTCTCCTGTGCTTCCCTGTGATGTACCATCTCCTTGTTTTCTAGCGTCTGAATCACTGTAGTGTATCAATACTCTCCTCTCTGGACTACTAGGTAAGCTTGCACATTTTCTATCACTGGAGCTGAATCTGTCCCTAAGCCTTTCTCGGCTCCACTCTTCTCCACTAGCCCCACTTCTATAAGCTGACCTCTCTGGACTGCTGTGTGTAGAACTCGGGCCCGATCGTGATTCCCTGAAGTCAGGTCTTCGAGACTTCTTCTCTGGAGACGAGAGCTCATCGTTTAACTGTTCGGTTTTATCTCGAAAGAATTGAGATACCTCACTGAGTTTTTCCTCTGCCTCCTTTACAGTCCTGTCCACTCTGTCCTCGTAGATAAGCTGTTCTCTATCCTTACTCTGTGTGTCATCAGACACACGCATCCAAACGGATTGCTTTGGGCTACCAGGCTCAGACGAGTACTGCAAAAGTGTTAGTTTGTCAAAGTTATCATCAACATTTGCCATTCTTCCAGATTTGTCATACACATTTCTCGACGACCTAAAGACATACTCTGTCCTCGGCCCACCTGATCTACCCTCACTGCTACTGCTTCTGTCTGGTGAGTGGAAGCGAGACCTATCTCTCAGATATTCCTCTGTGTCAGAATGAGACTGGTCAAATTTCTCAGAGAGAAGCATTTTTTCTGCAAAATTATACGATTCTCCCCTAAGCTCTGATGATTCATCATCATTGTACTCGACAGATTGCTGGCTAAGTAGCTTAAGTGTTTTATAAGAGTCATCTGACATGAGTTGGGCTGAACTAGGGCGACTGTCTTCCTCTTGTGACATGGGTGTGTTTACTCTGGGGGAGTCAAGGTACACTGGAAGTGATTCCTCAGGCTCATCCTCTTCCTGTCTATTCCCTGGGTAGTAATACATTTCCTTCTCTGCATGGTTTTTCGTCTCCCTGATGATGACCTCAGTTGGTTCTGTTTTATTGCCTTTTTCAATGTGTACCTCAATTATTCTTTCAACTTTAGGTTTGGAGATGTCCTCGAGGACTCTTTGAGATGTTTCCTCGTTGCCAGACTTGTGTTCAAAAAGTCCAGCCAGCTCTCTGGAAGGGTCTTTGCCTGACTGAAAAGCCTTCATTATGTCATGCACAGACATTGTTTCCTCACAGCGCTCCGATGCTGCTTCTTTGCCAGGTGGTTTGTGGTACACCATCCTGGTAGTTGTAGTGATGTGAGTCTCCTCCTTTACCCTCATCCCTTTTCCCATTGGATCTTCATCAGGGCTGACCTTTATTGAATAGCATTTATTCTGATCTGGACTTGATGTAGCTAGATGCCCTTTAAAGTCTGAATCAATATATCTGACAGGATGAGCATCCTCCATTGCAGGTTGTTTGTTATCCTCTGGTGGCTCATAGCTCCTGATGACATGTACAACCTCAGTCCTAGTCTCAGTGATTACTGGGGGAACTGGGATATCCTGAAAAAGGGCCTTGGGACCCATTCCCTCAGCACTTTGAGGAGTAGAGGGTGTCCTTTCACTGCGGGTCTCAAAGCCACTGTCTGAGAGGGGGCTTTTATCTTGCTCATGTGAGATATCATCAGGTGAGTCTAGCACAGTGTCTGCTCCAAAGAGCACATCTGCTACTTTGCTGAACTCTTTGTCTGAAAGGGAAGAGCGCATGTTTGTTGGAGGCATTTTGAGCTTATGCTCCTGAACTGCTATGGTGGGTTTTAAGACACGTTTCTGCTTCTCCTTGCCCTCTCCTTCTCTCTTGCCCTCATCTGCTTTATGCTTTGTGTCGTGCATTTTGGAGAAAGAGCTGCTCCCAACATCATTGGTCAGGTAGTCAACTACTTTGGAAAGATTGAAATCTCTATCTGGTATTGTTTTTGATTTTGCTTGAGGAACCACAGTCTCATATCTTGGCGGATAGCTCCAGTTGCTTGGAGGCTGTTCAACTTGTACTTTTGAGAAGTGTATGTCGTCCAAAGAACCCCTCGCATGGGTAACCCTACCATCTTTCACAGCATCTTTAGTAAGGATTTGGCTCACTTTTACCAAATCTTGCTTTACTTTCTCCACAATTCTATATGGCTCCTCATCTTCTATCTTAGCCTCTTTGGCAGAATCAGACTGAAATCCTTTATTGGCTGTGGAATTTGGGTCTGTCTGCAAAATGGCTGACATTCGTATCAAGTCCTCTTTCATTTCGGCTACATCCTTCAGAATCTCTTGACTGGATGATAGTGGTGATGTAGTGTTTGATTTCAGACCAGGAGGAAAATGAGGGGTTTTCATTGGGGAAAGAGTTCTGGCAAAGGAAGACTGCATGTGAGCATTCACCTCAACTGGGACTGTCTTTCGAGGAGACAGAAGGGCAGCAGCTGACTTGGACACCTCAGGTAACTTCTTGAACTGAGGCTCTGGCAGCACGTTAATAACTGAGTACACTGGAACAGTCATTGTACTAGATGTTACAGCAGTGGTGGCGTTAGGAGGGGATCTTAAAGAGGCGTAGAGTGAATTAGAAGCTGATGATCTAATTGACTGATATGAGGATGATGGAGAAGAGGACAAAGACTTCAGAGTGCCATAGCCTGCAGAACAAGAATTAAATGTTTTTTCAACCTCCTCAAAGGCTGCATTGACGCTTGTCGTTGCGGCATTGGTGGTGGCTTGTATTCTCTCTTGAAGACTGTTTGCGAGAAGAGATGTTGGGGATGAAGAGCGGTACTGTGTAGGCGACACAGTTCCATTAATAAGAGCTGCAGCGCTTGGAGGGGTGTTGGATTTAAGTGGAGACGTAAGAGATGAGAAAAGGTTTCTTGCAGGACCAGTGACGTCTGAGGCAAAGGAACGTACAGAGGAAAGACCAGGGACTGTTTTTATAGGTGAGGAGGAAGATGCAGCGCAACTGGAGCCACCCATAATGGTCTTGTAAGGCAGGGGTGAACTGAACATACTCAGAGATGATTTGGGAGAGGTTGGTGGGGTCAAGCTTATCGATGCTCTCTCAAGAAGAGGGCTTCCTCCTGCAGAAACAGTTATAGGGGAGGTCCTAGCAGACAATGCTGCCAGTCCTTTCATTGACATAGAATCTGGGGTACTTCTGCCTGGTGAGGCCAGGGGGCTGGGGCAGACCTGGACTGGGTACTGGTTTTGCTGGACTACCGTTTTTATAGGCGAGGAGATAGTTCTGTAAGATCTGATGGGAGAGGCCATTTCATTAACTGACTGTATTGAAGAGGCGGGTGATCCGGGGATGTTTGTCTTGATGGGGGAGGCAGAGTTGATGGACCAGACAGACTTTAATGGAGAGGCAGAGGGCGTGTTGGATGACGAACTGGAGATGGAGCCAAACCCAGACTTGGCTTGGCCAGCGACGGCGACAGGAACAGGCGACCACGCCTGATAAGATCTCGTTGAAAAGACAGGTTTGTGAGGGTAGCTAGAAGGCTGTGTTCTCGGCGAGCTCCGATCAGTTGTTTCTTCAACAATAATTTAAATCAAAGCAATAAGGAAATCAAAATAAAAAGTAACGGAAATAATTATAAATAAAACATAAAAACCAGAAAGAGAAATTTGAGTCAGTCAGAAACAGCAATATTCACTTCAGCAAGACAATTTCTTTAGACATGAATTGTTATAAAGGCCCCTATTTAAAAATTCCAGGATGATATGACAAATGATGGTCTTATAATCAGTGAATAATGAAAAAACACACCTGATAAAGAACATAGCATGTATTTGAACAAAATGTTGACATATGGTAGACCTGACAGAAAATGACATGATAAACAATAAATACAGTTCCATTGACTTTTGATGTGCTTAAATCTATTTGCCTTCTTGCAACAGTGTCTTTTACAGTACATGTTTGATTGACATGTGTTTATCCTTTCATTTAGTTCATTTCAATGCCAGAGATGACCCCACAAGTGTATAGCATTAGTAAACAAAATACACTTTACTTGTTTGGTCTTGACTTATAATAAAATACGAGGTTGCACTTCACAAAAAGGGAAAAGTAAATCAGCCATTCATGCCTTTTCAGAATGCTCTGCAATTAAAGCCATATTTAAATTGGCTCTGTGTTTTTCTGTTAAATCAGCGTTTCTCAAGTCATAACTATGAATATATTTTAAATAATATCAAATGATTGTTAACAAAATACTTTTTTGCAGAAAAGACTTGGATGGTCAAGGCTGGAATAATGAAACACAGACAGTTCCCCAGAATTTGAATAACTTCAATGTACTGATAATACACAAAGTAGAATATCAAAACTATCCCTAAAAACACTATCTTCAGAGTAGGGGAAATCAAGTTAATGTAAAGTGCAACCCGTTACCACATTGATATACACAGCCGCACACAATCATAAAGCCAATAAGAGTGAAATGGCCACCAGAAAATGAGAACAATTGAAAATAATATTTTATTCAACATGAATCAAAACATTTTTTGCTCAAATGATAAATGAACAGACAGACATTGAATCCCAGTGTTTCCAGAAATGTAAGATAACATAACAGTTGAAACAGGGAGACTTTTTGTCAACATGGGGTGGGTAAGCAAAGCGTGACACACAGTAAACCATGCAAATGGTTGATGAATGACATGATTAAAGAGTTTGTATCAGGTGAATAGAAGAAATGATTCATGAACAAGTTGTCAGGTAGATCTCCTTCTATACTGTGGCTATATGAAAATATGTACACTATATAAAGGGACCTTTAGAGACTAAAGCTAATAGAAATCACATAAATATCTGAAATCAATTGAAAAATGTCATGTAAGGTAAAAATGGGAAACTCACTCGCTGCTGGGTCGGTCAAATAGCTGTAGCGCTTACGCAAAGCTAAGGAGGCAAAGGTATGACGTCGTTCTGGCTTTTCAGTCTGAAACAAACAAAAAAGAACAAAAGATGCTTTAACATAAAAAATATGGTGAAATGTGATTCTGACCTATCAGAATGAGGTCTAAATAATAATGTTATGTAGTTAACTTAAATACTGCAGTGCACGAATGCTGTTTTTTATTTTAGTGAATCAGCACATGCTGTTAGTACTGTCACAAGGAGGCACTGCAGGTGTGCTGTGGTGTCTCCTCTGGAGAGTAATGGACTGTTTCCCTGCATCCTTCATTCACTGCATTTCTCAATGTCATAACTACAGGCATTATGTGCCTTCTTAATGGCCTACTCTAGTAAAAAGTTAGTATGGGCAAAATCCAACTCCCAGTAAGCTTTGTGAGTCAAACAGAGACCCTCTTAACATGAAGACACATTCCTCAGATCGTCAAATGTGGTGACAAAGTACACCTCTTTAAAAAACTCATAATTGTGTCAATTTTGAGATTCGGACAGTAGGACTTCAGCCCATCTCCAGGAATTATGTTCATAATGGACAATTCGCCATTACATGATTTACAGTATATGTTAACATTAAGTGCCAATGCAGTTAATAACGAGGCGAAAGGTAAAGGAGTGGAGCTTGGCGTGATGAATGTTGGTCTATCTTTCATGCCAGTGATCAGAGTTTGTGTCCTCAAAAAAATCAATTGTGATTTGTTCCGCTGAAACTGTGAAAAACGTCCACACGGGCGATGTTTGGCTCCTCAGTCAGCGAGATTCGCTTGTGCTCTTCTTATTCTATGTTAACTGGTTAGGGTTAGGGTTAGGATTAGCGAACCAACTCTTCAGGTGCATACCGTCGCGTACTGTACCGGAGCATGCTGCTTTTGTTCCTATTCAACTACATTTTAATTATCTGAGCGATACATCATTATTAGGTAAACCATCATTTACATTTCCCAATATAAATCAAGCATCTAACCCACAGCTAAAATATTTATGGTTTTCATTTATTTTTATGTTGAATGTTGGAACATTGCTTTTACTCAAACACAATCTGGGTGCCGAATCGTCCAACATCAACATTTTATATGGGAAGAGGGTTGATATATTTATGTTGACTAATAACTACACGTGGTCACTACATGTAATACTAAAACATAAAAAATAATCTCTCTTTGATGAAAGTCTCCTATAAATGTTTGCAACTGGGGAGTTAGTATTCCCTGTTACACACAAGCAACGGACAAGGGTGGATAAAGGAAACCCCAAATACAACAAAAACGATGACTAAGAAGACACATGATAAGGGTTAGGGTTTCATCTTTAGCTGAAAAAAAGGTAACATAGTCCTGTGTGAAACCTCTTTTGAGTTAATAGTATAGATGGAGACATGGTGATTTCCTGTTGGACATGTATGGAAAGGAAGATAGAGATGGAAAACAAGCTGAGGTGTGGCACAGCAATTGGCTCCACTGCACTTTGGGATGAAGACAATAATAAATAAATCCTTGCTGATTAAAATAACTGCCATTTCCACTCATGCACTACACGGGGTCACTTCAGCAATGACGTAGCTGTGTAAAAAAAACGTGCAGTCAGAAGCATTGGTTACACCAAGGAACAGTACAGAGACAAAATATCTGCGACACGCATATCTACCACTGCAGTAAAGCCAACAAAAAGGACGACAAAGAAGAAGCAGTTCCATGTGATGATGAAGAATCTGTTTTACCTCATCATCAGGATCAGACTCCAAATCCTGTGGTATTCCAAGATGCATTGCAGGAGAGGAGAGAGATGACACAATGGAGAGCAGGGACGTTATAGTGAGCGGGGAGGCGGGAATAAAAAAAATCAGGGGGTGAAAATGGAGCAGCAAAAACAACAAAAGGCATCAGAAATAATCTATGGGGTTAATACAAAATAAACAGCAACATAACAAAAGCAAAAGCAAAACAATTTCAGTTTCTTGTGATCAATCAATACCACAACAAACAAACAAATGAGAAGAGCCGTCTTCTTGCAGAATTCTTATGAACCCACAGTGGGCCAGGCAATAGACCAAAGCACGATGTGCATGTGTGGCTGCATGTGTACGTTGTGGGGTCTTATGACTGGCACAGGCTTTAACACTAATAAAAGACACAAGCAGCAGGCAGTCCTTTCTAGACCAAATGAACTTCAATGGCTCCTCTCGATGTCCGGACAACATCCCTTTCTGTATTTCAATTTAATTTACATGTAGATGGTATGATATGGCCTAAACAGGTGAGCAATTCAAACATGGGGATCCTACCTTCTTGTGGTTTGGCAGTGTGATATTCAAATTGCATATGGCAGTCTGTGGAAGGCCTTTAATGGATTTAGGCTCCTTCAGGAAGGAGAGGCGGCCACACGGCTCCTGGCCCATATCTCTGATCTGAGGACAGCAAAAAAATTGCATCACGAGTTGACCATGACAAATACTTTCAATAACAACCCTGTTAAAAAAAAATGCTTTTCTTCCCTTCTCTAGGAGTAGAGTTTTCTCCATTTATTACAACATTAACCTATTTCCACTTCCTAAATGTGAATATCGTCATACACTAAATAGATGTAAGGATATAACAGGCAGAGTACATTTCATTTGCTGTTAGCGTCAAAATCTAGGACAAAAAATTGAGTTATAGTGTGTTGCTGTGGGAAGCATAACAACATTTACCGCAAGAAGCAAATTGCTATAAATGTCGAGCCAATTAGGAGAGGGTGAACTGACATTTCTGACAACATTTGCAAAGGACTCCACAATGAGACAGACGATGCTAGCAGAGAGAGAGGGTTTTAGGAGGGGTATATTTTATACCTTCACGTTGAAAGGAAGTCTGTTTTCCTTGAAGGAGTAAAAGTTGAAAACAAGCTGTTGTCCACTTTTGGCGAGAGGGGACAGGTTGCCATAGCAATCCACGTGGATAGGCTTGCCCTCGAGAACCTACGGAAGTAGATTGATCAAAATGATGTGGTTGATAAAACGTATAATGCATTTTTTTTTACATTTTTCAAAGTTGTTCTTTATCCACAACCCCACCTCGATATCTTTGCTCCGGGCCACCTCCTCAAAGTTCTCCTGCTGCTCGAGGGTCTTGTCCACCTTGTCGTCTGTCATGCAGAAGCAGCGCAGACGAGCCTCGATTGCGTCGTTCATCTTGGCGAAGACCACAAACTTGGCCAGGTACGGCACGCAGATCAGCTCCCGGTATAACTGAGACGCTAGACCCACCGTCTCAGGAATCTGGTGACAGTCTGCAAGCCAGAACCTTTGGAGGAGACATTGGAGGAAAAAGAGAGAGGAAATGGAGGAAAACACAAATCAGGAAGTCAGCCAAGTGAACGGTTTGCCCTTTATTACGATGATGTACACCCTAAAGTTTGGTACTTTGCATTGCACAACTACTAAGTGTTTTTCTAAAGCAATAAATCAAATTATCTGGGTTTTGCTCTGAAGGGTGAACACAAACACATGACAGCTTCCCAGTAATCTAATTACAGAGGGTGCTCAGTTAATATCAAGCTGCACACTCACCACATGATCCCAATCTAGTTAGAATAAGAGTTTATTAGTTTGCGTAATGCAACCAAGACTTTTAAACTTTAATTACCGCTGTTGCGCCCCCCCACACACACA